AAAAAAAATATTTAAAATTGTGTTTTACACTGTGTTGGCAAAAAGGCAAATACATTAATATATACAATAAAACATTTTCCTTGACACCTGAATGTTCAGATTTTTTCTCAGATTGCTAAAGAAACGAGACACTTTTTTTTTTTTTTTTTGTGAGCCCTAAAAGTTTTTTGGTGAGCCCTAGATGCTGTGCCTATTACTCAAACAGAGCTCTTGTGACCAGGATAGAGTTGGGTGTCTGTTGCAGACCCAGGAGAACTCAGGTTGCGGAGCCTTGTAGGGGGTGAGCCTGCCTGCTTCCAGGGAAAGGGTAGGCAAAGGGACTTGGGTGACAAATGCCTCCTGTAAGCTGATCCCTGCTGTCTATTTGCACTTAGGCTTTCCGAGGTTACAGTTCATTTTGCAGGAAAGACACTGATTCCTTCCTGCTTAACCACACAGCCCTTGGCACTGGGTGAGGGAAACCAACCTGGTGTTGCTTTTTTAAAATATGAACTTTCTAATCTATTCATAGGGGAGCAGCAGGATGACCTAGTTGCACCCCCATGATCTTGCCCAGCCCTTTCCTTTCTGACCCAGGCAAAGAAAGGACTGGATGTGAGAGTCCCAATTTTTTTGACTATAAGTTTTCTAATCTTTAACATTAAAAACTTCACCCAGTAGCACTAGTTTGATTTTTTTTTTTTTACACATTTTGAATGAGAAAGCACATAAAGGCAGCTACACGTTTAGTGGCATTTAAAATGAACCTATATTTTATTAATACTGCAACATCCAGATACAGTTAGAAACTAGAGTCACATTTTATAATAGTCAGTCCACAGGCAGGGTGTGGGGTGTCTGGATCTTGGGCCTCCTGTAACAACTTTGTAGCTTCAAGCCCAGGCTAGGAACTGAGGACTACCCCCAAATCTGGAGTTCCTAACACTTTTCAAGTTGCCCTTTTAAGTGACAGCTAATTATATTAATTGTTGACTGTCAGAATAGTTATATAGACTTTCATCCCAGGAGGCAGAACGCCTTCAATAATCACCCTCCTCCAGCCCCCTCTGAGGGCCTAGCGTGCAGAGTCAGCCATCGCAGGCACTGAGGGAGGGTGGCCATACACACATCTCTGTACTTGGCCCTCTGCAGAGGGCTCTCAGTCGGAGATGTGGTCCCCGAGCCTATCCTCCAGGTTAGTGGCTCTCAAACTTCAGGCAACATTAGAGTAATGGGGAAACTTGTCAAAGTTTTAGAATTCGAGTCCACTCTAGGGGGTAACAGTCTAAGGGATCCAGACGTGACCTTCAGAAAAGCTTGCTGCAGCTGGAGGGATGTACAAATGCACTTTGAGAGCTGAAAAAGAGACACTACAGCAACTTATAAACAACACACAAGCAAGTAAGGAGGAAAAAGAAATACAAGTAAAACCAACATTTTAGCACCAGTGGGATACATGTGTGCAATGCTTTTTAAAGAGAGAGTTTTGAGTTGGGTGGCATCACTATATATTTTCTAGTGAGTAAAATAGTGACCTGGGGAAGTTAAGGGTTTTGCTTCTGTATGGAAAGTCATTGGTCAAGCAGGTGTCCCTGCCATGGTCAAAAGGTCCTAAGTAGATGGCTGGAAGCTGTAGCATGCGTGTGTGTGTGTGTGTGTGCGTGTGCGTGCATGCAAGCATAACATACATGGTGCAGGCAGATGCTAGTGTTCTGGCCATGGTCAGGGTTCTTCAAAGAGCCGGGTTCTACTTGACCTTCAGATGTAAGGGATAATCATCTGTTACCTACTAAGTGAGATCCTATAATATACTTACATCTGTGAAACCTCTGACTCTGCCTGAGTTCCCTCACGGGAAGGCCTGTGAAGTTTATGCCATAAATAATATAGTATCATTTCCTGAGAAACAGTGATAATCAACGAAGACAGAAAGTTTTCATTAAAATGCACACATAATTACAATTGCCTGTCCAAGGGTAAAAGGAGCCCAAATCAGTGTTATGGCTGTCACATATTTTTCTCCTGTGGCTGAGGCTATGTCAGGTGGGCCTTTCCCTGTGAGTCCCGCATTGTTTACATGCTCGGGTTATCTGGTGGCTTTTGTATGAGAAGTGATGTGACTGTGTGTAGTTGGCTTGTGGTGGTTTTGCAGGATGCAGGCCGGGAAGGTTGCGTTGGCCTCGCCGCAAGTGCAGGATCTGGGCTGGGAAGAGGGTTCGAGGAGCTCAGTGTCTTCCCCGCCCTGGGTGGAGAGGGGAAACCACCGATGGGATGGGGGAGGGCGCGTGCATGTGTGATGCGTAGAGGCACGAGTCTGAGACAGGTGCAGCCACCGCGCAGATACTGAAAGTGGCCTTCTCTGACTTGTGTGAGCAGGAAAGTCATGGAAAGCGCTGACGCTGTCGCAGAAGAGGCCCTATGTGGACGAGGCGGAGCGGCTGCGCCTGCAGCACATGCAGGACTACCCCAACTACAAGTACCGTCCGCGCAGGAAGAAGCAGGCCAAGCGCCTCTGCAAGCGCGTGGACCCCGGCTTCCTCCTGAGCTCTCTCTCCCGGGACCAGAACGCCCTGCCCGAGAAGCGGGGCGGCGGCCGGGGGGCACTGGGGGACAAGGAGGACAGGGGGGTTTGGGCGCCGCCCTGCCCAGCCTGCGGGGCTGCTACCACGAGGGGCCAGCGGGCGGCGGTGGCACCCCAGGCAGCTCGGACACTTACCCATACGGGCTGCCCACGCCTCCGGAAATGTCGCCTCTGGACGTGCTGGAGCCGGAGCAGACCTTCTTCTCCTCCCCTTGCCAGGAGGAGCATGCGCACTCCCGCCGCATCCCCCATCTGCCCCGGCCCCCTTACTCCCCTGAGTACGCCCCCAGCCCCCTTCACTGCGGCCACCCCCTGGGCTCCCTAGCCCTGGGCCAGTCCCCGGGAGTCTCTATGATGTCCACTGTACCCGGCTGTCCCCCGTCTCCTGCCTATTACACCCCTGCCACCTACCACCCCCTTCACTCCAACCTCCATGCCCACCTGGGCCAGCTCTCCCCGCCTCCTGAACACCCCGGCTTTGATGCCCTGGATCAACTGAGCCAGGTGGAACTCCTGGGGGACATGGATCGCAATGAGTTCGACCAGTATTTGAACACTCCTGGCCACCCAGACTCTGCCGCCGGGGCGGTGGCACTGAGTGGGCATGCCCCAGGCTCTCAGGTGACAACGACGGGCCCCACAGAGACCAGCCTCATCTCCGTGCTGGCTGATGCCACCGCCACATACTACAACAGCTACAGCGTGTCATAGATGCCAAGGCTGCCCGCCCACCCCTGCTTCACAGCGGCCACTCTCCTTTCTGCGCACTGAGCAGAGGCGGACTGCGCCGTGCTGCCGCCGGTGGGCAGGTGTGCACAGCCCGCCCCAGAGAACCGGGTTCTGCTCATGCCAGTGCTCCCTCTGGGCCCCTTCCCAGCCCGCCCCACTCCCTGCAGCCTGCATTTTGAGTATATTCCTTCAAACGAATTTTCACTGGCTATACCTGGGAATAAGGCAAGGTAGTTGCTGAAAGATCCTGGTCCCAAGTACAGTTTTCAACGACCTTTCCTCCCTGTCCCCATCACAGAAACAAATGTGTGCAAAGCCCAGCCGCCGCTCTCACCTCTGGCTCCTGACATAGTCTTAGCGGGTACAGCCCGCCTGATCTTTAGATCTTCCAGGTGGGGAGAGCCCTGGGCTGGGACTCAAGAGAGCCAGGATCCTGGAAGGGCTGGCGACACCTTGACTGGCCTCTCCTCCCCTTCCAGCCTGTCCTTCCATATATGCAGTGGGGGACAGATGACACCTAAGATCCATTCTTCTCTGGGGTTTTCTAATTTAGGATTCTCTCAAGGCTAAGTAAAAGGAAAACAAAGTTTGACTCAGTACACTCAGTAAGGTGTAACCTGTGATAATTCCGCGTGGGCAGCTAAGGACACAGGCTTTCTGCACTTGGGCTGCCTTCCAAAATGATCCTCATCTTCCAAAAGGGCTCTTCCAGTTTGAGAAAAAACAGTCATCTCGATTTGGGAAATTAACCACTAAAGTTGACGGTATCATTGAAAATGAGATTGAACCCAAGCTGTTTCTCTAAAAGTATATTTTTTAGGTAAAGTTTTTTTTTTTATGACACATTTCAAGAGGCTATACACAACCTAAATATATACAGTGTGTGACACACACAAACACTTTCACGCACACCCTTACTTTCATGTATGTGCAGCCTAAATCAGATACTGTTGTGGATATTGGCAGCTTGTCCACTCCCTGTTCGTAATGACCCAAAAAGCAGGGGACCTAAAAAAGAATTTCCTCCAATCTGAATGTGTCGATTTCCTGAGCAAAGTTTCAGCACACCCTCCCCTCTGCAGATGCAAAAGGAGCTTTCTTCCGGCTCTCCCTAACTCCCTCCCTCCTTCCTGGGATTCTGCATCCCCCACTCCATCCCCATCCTTTGCTCTTTCTCTACCCCTGAATTGACCACTAATTCAAAGATTCCCCTGACTTCAAAATTTCAAGCCTGATCCTCATGGCTGGGATGGGAATGCGTCCTCCTCACCAGCCAGCTGGTTCTTCCGGTAACATCTTCAGCCAACACTTCAAAACACCTCCCCCACTGCACTCTCATAGTACTTAATTCCCAAAGAACAGAAATGCACTGTGATTCGGAAAATGTTTCTGAGCCTTGACCCCACCCCTAAAACATTTCCGTCCTTCTCTCAGACCTCCTTTGAAGGAACATACCTAAAAGTGAGTGAAAAGGCAGTAGTTTGTCTTTTGATGTCAGCATATTATTGCCCGTATGAAATATGTAAGTGTTTTATATATTCTTCTACTATTTTCACCTTATATTTTGTATTGTTGAAAGATCCTTTTTTTTCCTTCCAAGGAGTCCTATTGTAAAATCACTTATAAGATATGATTAATCTTTACACTATTACTGTATGTGATGTTTGGTAATAAATAGTAAATCGTTGACAATATGATTGACTGGTGCAGTTCAGAATATGTATTAATAATCTTGTAAAACATGATCGCAGACATTAAGCTAAACGGTTCCGTTTTTTGCTAAGAACTACACACACTTTGGAACAGTGGTGGATGTTATTTTGTCTAAAATATTTAATTTAAATAAATTTTTTTTTGTACCATGACCATTCTATCGTTTGAAATCTAGTTTTGCAAAAAGAAAATGTTTCCAAGTGAGGCATAGATATTATACCCAGTGCTACTTATAGTTTTGGTCAAAACATTTTCTATGTCAACTTTTTTTTTACTTTAAAAAGTTGTCATCTTGTAGATGTGGCTCATTTTATGAGTTATGGTAAAGAGATAAAGCATCGTTATTATTAATATTGAAAGAAAAGACCAATTCCTAGCCTACCTGCAGAAAAATTTCCTCCCCAGCATGACTTCACACTTATAAACTAGAACCGGGTATCAATTCAAGATAGGAAGTTCTGCCCATTTATTTGCTAACTTAAGGCTGTTATATATTTTTCCTTCTTTTGGAAATAGCCTTGAAAAATACCTGGATTACCTTCTTTACTACCTATTTATGGATGTAGTAATAACAAGACACGCATGCTCTCAGAATTTGATGGAATGTGGTGGAGAAGGCAGAGGAGTACACGGATCAGCAATTAAAGGATGTAACATCTTGTGAGGTTTAGGATTGAAATGCCAGCCAAAAAGTGCCTGGAAAAAAACTGCTGATTACTCAGTCCCCATGCAGGTCACCCATGTCTGGCTTTCTTCTGCGATGAAGCAGTTGTAACTTGTTCGAATCAAGGGTAGTCTTGTGTTCTCTCAAGCCCTCTGGGCCAAGGAGTGGGTCTTGGAACGACCCAACTGGGCATACGTCCCTCCTTCAATTTTGATCATAATCTATAGTCATTACTTTAATAGCACTTTATAGGTGTAGGGAGTTTTACAGCGAGTTTTATGGGCTATTTCTCATCCACAGCCCCGGGTGGGACCCTGTTGTCTATCCACCCCATTGAGCAGCCAGGGACACTGAGGTCCAGGGTAGGAGGTGGTACAGTGTAACTTATCCCACCTGGCTGGTGGAGGCTAAGGTTTTGGCCCTTGTCACATATATTTATTGGCAGCGACGGCTTAACAGTCTCACAGCTAGAGGCTTTGTGCCTTTTTTAGTGCTTTTTACCATGACATGAAATTACTGTACATGCGGTCCAGTGCATACCTACCACAGCCCAGGGAAAGAAAGAACAAACAAAGAGGAAATTACAGGGCCAGAGACAGGTGAGACCTGAATTCACTGCTGCCCGGGCGCATCATGGAGGCTGATTGACAGTGCCGGTTGCAGGGTCATGAGTTGGCTGGAGGACTCATCCGGCTGTGTCTGCCCGAGACCTTGGCCATCAGCACTGCCAAAGGGGCATATTCATTCCAGGACGTACCGCGGGGGCAGGGGTGTTGTCTCTGCTTCTGGGAGGGCAGGAAACAAGCAGCGACTCGGCTGCTCTTTCATTTTACTTACCTGTGAGTGAAACAGTTGTGCCCAGAAACCTGAGGCATTTTAGAGTTTTAGCTGCCCATTCCGGGCATCCAACAGCCCCCAGGGACAAGGGCCTTTTTTGCTTTGGCTGATGAGAATTTATGGGTAAGAATGGTTATAAGTTTTTTTTCTAAAATGTAGATGTGACCGTTTCAGTCTTTTCCCTAAGATCCTTCAGCTCCTGCTCGTCCCCACGGCACACGGAGTGAGTGAAGAGGTGGGTTCACATGAGGCCAACGAGGTTCATGCCTCTGAGTCCCTTCTGCAAGGTCCTGGGAGGAGGATGTAGTCACATGGCCATTTGTTCTTATAAATTTGCAGAAAGGAAGATTTTCGGTGTCCTTTCCTTTAAGAGTCCCCTCCCCCAATTGTGCAACCATCAGGACCCCTAACACCTGTGTTGGTCTCCTGTGAGTACCCCTGTGGCAGATTCTTTCCTTTCTAGAAGCCTCTCACAGTCCCCCTCTCCCTTCCCATGGTGTATCTACTGCACAGAATGCCTATTGTTCTTTGAAAGTGCTCTCCCCTCCTCCGGGCCCCCCCCAAAAAATACTTCTGTGTTTTTCCCATGCTTTTCCCTGACCAGGGATTTCCATCAGCTGTCTGAGGACATCCCACTCACTGTCCAAGTCCAGCTCAGACATCCCTGACCTTCCCAGGAGAAGGGCTAGTCACTCCTCCCTGAGCTCCTGCACACCTTGAGCAGATGTCTTACGGCACTTAACACCTAGCTTCGCAATCATCTACCCATGGCACATAGTAGCTGCTCAAGAAAACAGTGAACAAATAAATAAACACCTGCAATGTCCTGCAGGTTATTCTGGTTAATCTTGGTGAGAAAGACCTAAAACATCTGGGTTCCTAATTTTCTGGCCCATCTCTCTGGAAACCAAGACCCCGGAGCCTTTGTGTGTGTAGTTCCCAGGCTCTGAGGCTGGAAGTGAGGCAGCCATGGCTATTCACTCTTACCCACTGGAGTGTTGCCTGGAGCACACAGGTCAGAAGATGGCCTTGGGAGCACTGGGGGAGAAGCTTCTCTTTCATTCTATCTTAGAGCAGAAGAATAGAGCTGAGGACAGATGATCTGTAACATTTCTAACTGTCTACTTTTTCTTTTGAGAAGGTTGTGCTCTTGACTTCACCCCAGTGAAAGGAATTTGGACAGATGGAAGGTGGGAAGGAAGGAAGGCAAGATGGAAGAAAGGAAGGAAAAGAGGTATCTCTATCATCTCTCATGTATCTATCGCCCATTTATCTCTCTATCATCATCTGTCTAGCATCTACCCATCTATTCATCTATCCACCTCACCCACTC